TTCATCTAAATATAATTATATATATATATATATATATATATATATATATATATATATATATATATATATATATATATATATATATATATATATATATATATATATATATATATATATATATATATATATATTTATATATATATATATATATATATATATATATATATATATATATATATATATATATATATATATATATATATATATATATATATATATACATATATATATATATACATATTCATATATATATATCGTTACATCTTATATAGATGGTAGCTCGTTTTGTGACGCGGTCGCGACCTCAAGGATAATATATCTTATATTTTAAAAAAAATTTATAATTTAAAACATAATTTATTTTATAACATAAAATATAATATATTTTTATATAATAATGCTTATTTAGCATAAAAGTAAACTTATTTATTTCTAGTACGACTAATAATAAACAGTTTATCTAATAGATATTAATGAGGAAAACTCAATAGGTTTGTTTTGTTTGGATACCATTTTTTATTTTTCTTAATATAAAAGAAAAATTCTCCTATAGCAGTTTTAACTGAAGGGTTAGATTTTGGCGTTAACAACTAAATTTTCTCCTGCCGTTAACTAAACGGAGACATAAGAATACGAGTTTGTTTTATCGCTGGCGTTAAAAACTTCCGTTTTGCTTTTAACCAGCCGATAGCTTATCGCAGGGTTTAACGGAGGGATGTGAATACGGCTGCTGTTTTACGTGACTTTACGTGAATAGAAACTTGAGCAAATTTGCTAAACCTTTTACTTAGGTAAACCTATGCAATTACTCCAAAAATGCTGAGTTTTTTTAAATGCTGTTTTTTTTTTATTCACCCGACCTCCAATGTAAGTGTATAAAACAATAGTTGCTGCTCAAATTTTAAAGAAATTTTAGAAGTTCGTTCACTAAAGAATGAAACTGCAACTTAATGTTTTTTTTTGTAATTAAATTCATTCATTCTACTTAACTCTACTCTATCTGATCTTAAAAGGTTTATAACAACGTGTAACAACGTGTAACAACGTGTAACAACGTGTAACAACGTGTAACAACGTGTAACAATTACAATAACTTAAACGGCATTAAACTCAATGCTGTCAATATGGAAGTTTTGCTTTCCGAGAAGCGACTAGTAACTAATTGCAAGATAACCCTAAAAACCATCAAATAATACAAAATGAAAAACTTAATCATCTGGGCTACATGTGGGATACAGAAAAATCCAATTTCGTCTCACTAAATAAAACAAATATTGCCAGTAGGGTATCAAATTTCCAAACAACTGTGCAAACTCTGATTCAATTTGGTATCCGATTCGCACATCCATCATTAATTATCCAATTGAAAAAAAAACCGCATTGTTTTAGGTAAATCACTTTCTTCGCGTATTTTTGCAGTTCCAACACATAGTTGATAATTTTTGCACTTTAAATAAATGTAGCCGTTGTGATTCTTATTTTTTACATAGCAATTATTCCCAGCTATGTAGAGGAATGAATTTCTCAGTAACACTAAATAATATGAACTTTAAAAAATTTAATACAAAATAAAAGTTTTTTATACCATGTATACCTATATAATATAGGAAACTAATTTTCAGAAGTACCTATTTTTAATAAATATCTATATCTATTTATAACAGCGTTTTTAATCTAAATTAAAGAAAACATTTTGCGAATGCACTTCTTGAAAAACATATAGCACTTTAGTTCCAGTAAAACAAATATAAATATATTAAAATCTCTAACTTGAAATTACATACGTGTATAATTTCTCCTCTTGAAAAAGAAATATGCCACTCTGCAAATTAGAGGCTATACTAAAATATACGGTTAAAATCCGTAATTTAAAGTTACGGTAATTTTCTTTATCATAAATACGGGCAAAATCATATAAATGATGTGATTATCTCAATAGTCTTAAAATTATAGGTAAGAGACCGTAATTTATTGAAAACGGAAAATAACAACAGAAAATAAATACTACGGAGTTTTTTAACAGGGCAATTAAGACACACTTAGTTTCTTCGTAGGCACATATAGAAAGATTGCAGTTGTTATCATATTTTCCAAATTTTTTTAACTTGATGCCGATAGTTTAACGAGCATATCCATATAGCTTTACTTACCTTTCTATTAAAAACACAAATTGTCTTCCAACTTCTACAAATTCCAGTCAGATGAGAGTTTATATTCAAACTGAATCCAAGAATAACAAAATATTTGATCAGTTGAATCGATTCTTCTCCAAAGATAGATATTTTATGTCTCAGTTGACACACATAAATAGATCAACCTCTTACTTTTGTAAAAAATGTTTAATGACTGGCAGTATAATTAAAGTCTACACTCATTTATCTGGTTTGTTATGAATGATACAACACTATTATCTTGGTATTGTGTCAGTCAATGGTGAAGACTTCTACTATGGAAGACGTCTACTATGGAAAAGCTATTAATATAGGGCCTTGTCTCCAGGGACGAGAGTCTTTATTCTCAGCCACAACTATAACTAAACTATTGTTTAAACGATCTTAAGTTCAATTAAGCAAAGTTTAAAAAAAAGAACACATTTTTTCTTTAGATTTTTTGACCAAATACATCAAATAAACAAAAAAGTAAGTGCTGTGTCACTTTTAATGGACTTACAGTTATTGCAAAAAAGCGGATAATACTGATATACACTTTGATTTAAAGTTGAACCATTACCCACAACTGTGGTATAAAACTGATCTAATGCTGAAAGAAAACAAATCATTGTTGCGCAAAGTAATTCTTCCTGAAAATGAAACTAAAATGTATCTGGCCATATATGTAACACTGGTAAGGATGAACTTCCTGGTTAAATGCTATTCCACGGAGCTCTGTGATAAGACCGTTAGAACTTCCTGGAGCCCGTAAAATATCAAAAAAAAAAAAAAATTTAATAAAAACCTTTAGCTGGAAATACTAAAGCTTCATTAAAGAAATTATGGTATTTCAATTTTTTAATAAGCTAATGTATAATTAATTTTGTTGATTTGCGTCATTCAACATTTTCATTAATGCCATGTTATTCAACATATTGTTCTTAACAAATTATTGATCAACATAAAACTTTTAATTCAATCTTATATAGTTTTTCAGATTTTAAAGGTGTCAAAATTGACTCATTTTTCCCCTAAAATTTTCCCAAAAGGAAAGTTCCCAAAGCAAATTTTAGCTTTATTCTATTTGTGACTTGTAATTCCTCATGACAATGAAAAACTGGTATAAACTATTTTTGTACCATTTGTTATAAAAGAGTTTTTGAAATCAATTTTTAACCCTCAATAACTAAAACCCCGCCATAGGTTTTTTTTGTCACGGTAACTTATGTACTAAAATTTTATTTTTATAAGTGCCAACAACAACAACAACAACAACAACAACAACAACAACAACAACAAAAACAACAACACAACAAATGAATAGTTACTAAAATCCAGGCTGATTTTAACTGACTCTTAAATGCCACAAACTAAATTATTTTTTAATGCTCATTTAATAACATTTATTCATTTAGCTCTCTATAAGTTAATTTACTTGTATTTAGATAACTATCAAAAATTAAAAAAATGGTGTCCGTACCAGAAGAATTAAATTTATAAGTACTATTTGAATAATATTCCAAGGTAAAAATTTATCATTTTAACGACGAACAAATTCCGAAAAACATTGATATAGTCGTACGTGCTGTAAAAAAATCTGTACACAAAAGAGTGTAAGGAAGTGTGTGTAAAATGCAACATCTAGTGGCTGTTAGCTAATAGATGTTGCATTTTACAGACCATTAAAAATAACATGGAGGTCAATATTAGATAAATGGAAAAAAAGGTCTAAGAAGTGCACTATAATTACCAAAAACAGGTTTCCTTTACTTTAAAAAAACTTCGTTTAGAAGTATGCAAAACAAGATCAAAATTTTTATTTAGTTATTAGATCAAAAATTTTATTTAGTTATCGAATCTCTAATCAAAGCAGGTCTTGATTCGCGATTCGAATCACGTTTCGAATCAACATTTTGAAGTCTAAATTTAAGCATTTTTTATTTAATAATATATATTTCAAAATAAAATAAAATAAAGCAATTGTATAATCTCTTTATTGATGCTTCTTGCCCTGGGTAATCTTTTTAATGACTGATTTAAAAGATATTTAAGAGAATAAGTAACGTTATTTTGATAGCACCAAAGCGCAAAATATCTAAAATACCCACAATAAAAACAAAATAAGTGAGAATTCGATTTTTAAAAATTTTCGATTCGTATCTTGAATCATATTTTTGATTTCGATTCGATTCGAAATTTTGAAGCTTCGCAAGGCTCTAATATATAAATATATATATATATAAATATATATATATATATATATATATATATATATATATATATATATATATATATATATATATATATATATATATATATATATATATATATATATATATATATATATATATATATATATATATATATATATATATATATATATATATATATATATATATATATATATATATATATATATATATATATATATATATATATATATATATATATATATATATATATATATATATATATATATATATATATATATATATATATATATATATATATATATATATATATATATATATATATATATATATATATATATATATATATATATATATTCATATATATATTCATATATATATTCATAAAACAATACCAGTAAATTTGAATAATAACTAAATCAAAATTTTGGTTACAAGCAAACACTATTTTAAAAACTTATTTTGCTTATTACTGATTTGTTTCAAAATCAACGATTTGCATCTCAGACAAATTAGTTGATAAGTTCAAAAAATAAATTAATAAAAATTTAATAACATGGAAAAACGTCAAAAACTAAATATATATTTATCTAATGAACACTTTTACTTTGCTTAATTGCACAATACAAGTGGTTGTAGAACTTATTTGAAGTAAACTTTTAATTTTAAACATTATTGTTAAGAATAGTAAAAATAAATAATGGAGGATTCCAATGAAAACCGATTTTTGGAAACTATTATCGAAAAAGCTAAAGATATTGGTTAGATTTTTAAAAATTTCTATTTTTGTTTCGCTTAGTTAATGACTGCTTTTAAAATATTTGATTTTTTAGGAGGTCTCTTTATAATTGCCAGCTCTGTTACGTTGAATCGTTCAATACTGTACTGTAGCGTACAATTTTCGGAAAAAATAAAACTTTTACGTACTGTAGTACTTAAAAAAAATGCTTATCTCGATTTCCTTTTTGGAAAACAAACTAATATACTTTCGATTAAAAGATATAAAGAAGCCATAGATTTAAACAAGAAAGAAAATGTGGAGATGGTTCTCTATGATGCGTCAGGTATTTTGATAAAAATTAAAACCTTAAGATCCAAAAATACGATATTCTATATATTTTTTCATTCAATAGGCTTTAAAGCATGGTATTTAGTGTCAACTATTCCTGTATTCAACTGCAACCTTGAACAAACGCTTATACTAATATTTTTCAACGAAATAGGATATTTAAAAAAATCTTTAAACGGTGAGTTTTTCTTGTAAATTTTAAAAAGTTGAATCTAAATTTATTAGAAAACCACAAACGTTTATAAATTAGCAATTTTTATCTCAAATACTAACTTGTTATTTTCTTATTTCAGAGAGTTCAAGATTTCTAATGCTTGCTCTAATTTTCAAAAATATAATACATTTCACTAAAATTTTAACTCTTTTAAATATTTTAGCATAAACAACCCAGCAAACATTCGGCCAAAAAAAAGACGTCTTTTAAGCGTATATAAAACGACTAACACGTCTAAAAGACGTATTAAAAACGTCTTTTTTGGACTAAATGTTTGTTAGGAAATATTAATTTTACAAAAATTATTGGAGTCTTTTTATCAATAAAATATTAGGCGTGAACTTCTCATCAAAAATTCTATAACAGAAATTTTAATAGATTTATTTAGGCATTTTGAGTGGTCCACTGTAATTTTGCTCATCGGCTACTTAGTGTATCATAAACAGAAGCTGTCAAAAATGGCTCGTATGATCATTAGCTACTATATCACATGTTGGAAAGTTATTGGCCGGCCACTATTAGCGGATTTCACGAATAATCTACTAAGTAACCGACGAGCAAAATTCCAATGAACCTCGTAAAATGCCTATATAGGTCCATTGTAAAATTCACTTTTAAAATGTTTGCTAGGTTATCACTTTTTTACGTAAAACTTTTTTTTACGTATTTACTTTTCAGAGCTAGATTCACCTAAAACAAAATGGCGAAACATTGCTAGGCGTGTAATGGTAAAAAACAAAATGAAGTTAGAAAATAATAATTTTGATAAAAAAATGTCATTAGAAGAAGTAAGTTTTTTGTTTTTTTTAAACACTATTTTGTTGAGATTTACAATGTTTTTTTTTTTCCTAATCAAAATTGCAAACAATAGTTACAAAAATAATCAATAATAATGTTGCAATCAACAATAATGTTGCAATCAATAATAATGTCGCAATCAATAATAATGTCAAAACCAATAATAATGTTGCAATCAATAATATGAGAATAATTGTATTTACTTTCATCAAAATTATTCTTATTATTTTAAAGTGGCTATTATTTAATTAAAAAAAATACAGGCAAAGTTAAGAGGGTTATAAATTTTGCATGTGGTCAGCACGGCTAGTTGCTATACAGAGGCCACATTACCAAGGTCCGCAAAGATGAGTTCAGCCCACTTAAGAGCATTATTATCCGCTTCGCAGACCTAGAGTAAGTGATTTTGTGAAGAACGAAGGAACTAAGTGAAAGCCAGATAAAGTCAAGTTAAAACGATAGCATAGAGAAAGCGGACAGACACTAGCTGTTAGAATGTGCAATTCATACTATTACTAAGGTTACTTACTTAATGTATTTCTATAAACGTAGTTTATGTAAGCATAAACATTTGTTTATACTTATTTAAACCAATGTTTATACTTCAGACTAGTTGCTTTTTGTTAAAAGCTGTACGTTAGCATGTTTGGTTATAGATGTTATAGTCAGTATTAATGATTGAAATACACATGGTTTTATATTATATTATATAGAGCATATTAAATATTTTTCAATTGGTTAAAAACTACGTTATCATCCATGGCTTTGTTGTTTAGTGTATTGGCAGAACATGTGAGTGTTCGGATCTTTTGGACCATGACCTTTAAATAGATGTATTCCACGATATCTTTTAACTTGAAAAATAAATACCTATTTTTTTTTAGATGATCAGCTTTTACGAAGAAATGTTTATACCATTCTATGGACGAGAAAAAGTTAAGTTACCAGAGTATGTTATTTCTCAAGATCACATTTTGAAAAAATGCTGGGATTCATTTATGCTGTTTATTAAAGTATACACTGCAATAGTTCTTCCATTTTCGATTTGTTTTAAAAAATATCCTAAAATCCTCAACGCGTTTGATACGGTTTTTGACATCGCGTTTTTAGTCGACATTGGGTTGACTTTTTTTACCACGTATGTAGACAAAAAGGGTGTTCTAGTCACGGATTTAAAAAAAATAAAGTCAGATTACTTAAAAGGATGGTTTCCGTTGCATATTGTTTTTGGATTGTCATGTTTGACATCATCTTTTTTTTATAATGAAAGTGTAAGTTTTTTGTTTTTGTTTTTAAATTTTGTGAATTTTATTTTCCTTTTTTTTTTCCTTCTATTATAAATATAAATTAAGATAAACTTCATGATATATAAAAGCGAAAGTGTTTCTAAACAAGCACAAGAGAGTTTGAGATAAGTCATAACCATGAAGCTGTTTTTTTTTTTGTTTTTTTTTTTTGTTTTTGAAAGGGTTTTAAAAATTTGGGTCGAACTTATAATTTAAAAGATACTGAGAGCTATATTTATAGCTATACAAAAATATTTATAGCTATACAAAAATGAAAAATGATTTTAAACAGTTTTTATACATATTACATATAGTTCAAATATATTTTGAAATTTTGTTTTCTATCAATGTGATGTTCAATGTGTTGTTTCCAACTTGTTTGTTTATCAAGTATTACGTCGAAGAATTTAAGATTTTGTTACCTTTGAGTACAAATGTCAGATTTATAAGATTGAGAAGCAAATTAAGCACTTGCTTTGTCGCAAGTCTTGTTATATTTTTTGCTATTTGTTATAATCTTTGTACAAATATACAATGAAAAATTACAAATGAAGATATCATTATAAATAAAGAATAAAAACGTAAAAACCAAAAGAAGACCACATAGTCTCTCACCGAGAACGTCTATAACTAAACTCCAACAACTTTAATGTTTTGATGTGTAATACTAAGGTTTTAATGCATAAAATTTATGTCGTCTCCACACCATAATCACACCCCACATGTCATCATCACCTCACACTAAAACATTATTTATTTATTGAATTTTCGAAAACAAATTTGAATATGCAAAATTGAATTTTACTCTTACAGTCTATAGCCTGCATTTTCTTTTCGATTATTTTTAAAACTGCATGAATCCATAAAAAAAAGTTCCACGAAAGGAAATGCAGGAGGTGCAGAAAATGCAGAAAAAGTGACGGGTATTGTGTCAACACAAACTATTTAAAACATATTTAAGTATAAACATAAATCATATTTATGAAATGTAATATGTAGTTGACATTATGGAAATTATAGTTGAGACGAAATGAATTTTTCAAAACATTGCAAAAATGCTATTTGTAAATGGAAACTCATACAATGTAATTGCGAAAGACATAGTTTATGGATACTAATTTTTATAATAAATTTTAATGCTGCATTATATTTGTAATACTTGATATGATAATCTCTTTGGCCTTGATCTTGGCTTTGTCTTGAAGGCCAAAAATTAAAGCCTTGGTTTTGATCCTAGCCTTGAAACTCTTTGACATAGCGTTGGTCTCGGACTTTAAAACTTTATTTTAACCATGTTTTTTTATAAAACTTGAATTCCCGCTGACGATCTAATTGTATGCTGTTTAAGAATTTGCGTTAGTTTTAACGAATCTTCCTCTTCATTCAACACATTTAACAAGCTTTTTACTGTCGTTTAACAATGATAAAGCATTATTTTTTTTTTCGAATTTGCATTTCAAATTTACACTTGAAGTAAAAAAATTTAGTTAAATGTATGTTTATATAGATGTGGTATTGACATTTAACCCAAAATCTTTCAACTCTTCTTCTTGAAATTATACTTCTATAGAAATATAGTTTTTTTTTGAAATTAAAATAGTAATAACACATAATTTACATAACTAATTTTCTACTAACTGTTATTCCATTAAAAAACCGCATTTTTCATTGAAAATGTCTACCTTGTTACATTAAAAAGTATTCTAACGAAATAAAAAGTCTGCATGTAGTGTATGTGCTATATCATAGGTTTTATATAAACTGATTATAAACAAGTTTTTAAGTTTAAAACTTTTACAGTAAAAATTTTTTTTTCATTCTCTTTGTAAAATTTTTCTATTCTTTTTAATGCATGTTTTACTTGTAGTAACATTTATAAAGACTTTAAATTGTATTTAGCAATTCTAAATACAATTTAAATAATGAGATTTTTTTTTTATGTTTATAAAACAAAATTTTTATATGCAAAATTAATAATATGTTAAAAAAACATATTATTAATTTTGCATATAAAAAAAAAATTAATAAAAAGTATTCATTTTTTTCTACAGAACTTCATTTACGCAGTTCAAACATTAATATTGATACGATTGTTACGATTAACGTTTGCTCCTAAGAAGTTAATTCCATACTTGGATAGCAACATTTTTACATTAGTTTTGTGGATGTTCATCTTTTTGATATGTGCTCATTGGTTAGCTTGCATATGGTATTTTTAGTTATATTGTTAGTTTCATTTGAAACTAGGATATATATACATATATATATATATATAAATATATATATATATATATATATATATATATATATATATATATATATATATATATATATATATATATATATATATATATATATATATATATATATATATATTTATATATATATATATATATATATATTTATATATATATATATATATATATATATATATATATATATATATATATATATATATATATATATATATATATATATATATATATATATATATATATATATATATATATATATATATATATATATATATATATATATATATATATATATATATATATATATATATATATATATATATATATATATATATATATATATATATGTATATATATATATATATATATATATATATTATTTTTTTAAACTCAGGAAAAAAGTGATTTAATTTTTCAATACAACCTAAATCAGATTGATGTACAAATATTCCAATTCAAAGTTTTGATGTTAAAGTAATGGTATTTAAATTTTCATAAAGAAAATTATGTTAGCTAAAAATACGCTCATTTTTATTTGAAAAGCATGGAAACATTTATTTTCAATTTTATTTAAAGATAACATAGGGCTTCTCAAACGGGATCCCGGAGGTGAAAAACCATCCTGTTATCCCGGGATTTCAATTAAATTTCCCGGGAACCCCGGGAACTTTTTTACACATATTTTTACTCAATTTTTGAGTAATAACATTTTTAATATCTTTACATTTAAGTTAAGTGATAGCGCTATTGACAATTTATGTTTTTTAAAAAATTATTTTAAAAGTTAATATATACAAAATATAATGTTATTGAAGTTTATATTTGTTTTATTTTGAGTGCCTTAGTTTCTAAGAATTATTTTGTCTTTATTTTCTTGTTAAAAGTAATAGTATTTAAACCTCTTTTTTTTTGTATTTGTTTGAACTTATTCATCCCCCCCCCTCCTTGTTACCTAATCCCGGGATTTCCCAGGATCCCGGGAAATTAATCATTTTTGTCCCGGATTCCCGGGAATTAAATTTTTACGGCAAATGATAAGCCCAAGTGCATGCTCAAATTACCGGTTGTTTTGTTTATTGAAATTACTTAGTTTAAAATAATTGCAGTGATTTTAATTTTTCAATAAACACAAATCAAAGTAAAAATTTTCAATACTAAAAATCTTTCTGTAATTTTAATTCAAAATATTTGTGTTTTTATCGTTTAAAGTTAATAAAATTGGTGTTTTTATTGTTTGAGTTAATATAATTAAAAAAAATAACAAACCAATTTTTATTTTATTTTATTTTTTTTTAATTTTTTGAAAACAAAACAAAGTAGTTTTAAAACTACTATGTTTTGTTTTCAAAAAATAACAAAAAATTGAAAATTAGTTTGTTATTTTTTCAATTTTATTAGTTCAAACCTTTAAACGATAAAAACTCAAAAATTTTGAATTAAAATTACAGAAAGATTTTTTTTTTACAGAAAGATTTTGAAATAACTTTATTTCAAGAAAAAATGGCTTTAAACTTGATCTTGAAATAACTTTATTTCAATTAAAAATGGCTTTAAATTTGATCTTTTAATGATAAGTTTTGTTAATAACAAGTCATTATAGTCCACAAATTAGTTTTAATTGTCAGGTTGCTATTTTTTTGCTTAATTAATTTTATTTTTTGAGTTAATTTAAAGTACTTATATTATCTTTAAAGTACTTATATTCTAACTATTATGAGCACTTTTGCAACTTTTTTGAAACCTCTGTGTTTTTAAGAAAAAATTTCGAGTGCCCAATTATCTAAGTGGGTCATGAGTAGTGATCCCTAAAAAATTTATTCGCCAAAATTTTTAGATTCAGCATAAAAGTTTTGAAAATTTATTTTAATTTTTGCTTTTGGTACTCATAATACTCTAATCTTTCATTTTGTTCAAAATAAGCATTAACGAATGCGGTAAGTTTCTAAAGTTTTATAAATATACTAAATAGCCAAAATAACTCAAGTCTTTCAAGACTCAAGTGTAATCAAACTGATGCCTTATGCTAACAAAAACAAATTGATGCTTTTATACTAACAAAAACTAACTGATGACTGATACTAGCAAGATCTTATTACTGTTTTTTATTTCGTCATTTATAAACATTTTACAATCTTTTTGTTTTAAAAATTTCATCAACAAAATTTAAATAAAACTTAAGAGCAACAGGAGCAAGTAGAAGGTAGAATTCTTGTCATCAAGCCGTTATATCAAGCGTAAAGTATTTTTACAAGTTTCTCATTAAATAAATTACAAATACTCATTATATAGAACAAGTTAATACATAATTACAATAAAATACGATAAATTCCAATAATAAAATAGAGTTTTACAAACTGATAATATTAACTAATGATACTAACAAGCTACTTGGTTATTTCTGAATCATTTTTTATGCGTATTTTAAAAAATTTTTTTTCAAGATGAATGTTTGAAAATTGAACTTAGGATTAAAAAAACTTGTTGTTGCATTTGTTATATTCAATGCAATTAGACATATATGCTTTGAAACTGAGAGACATTTTTATGCTTTGAAACTGAGAGAAATACAAAATTATCAGAATGTTGGTGACACCTAAAGCTCATGCTGTTGTTATAAACATACCCGAGTTTATCGACAATCAGAAAAAAATGCATGGCATTATTCAGCAAAATCTTCCTACAACTTAACAAAAAAGATTATCAAAAGATTTTGATATTGCAGTAAGCAAGCATCAAAATTAGTTCATGAAGATTTTATTCTGCTATTGAAAACAGTCACTTACAAACATAATATGAGCCATCTAGAACAAGAGTGGCGGAACATGAGTGCTTCAGCGGTTTCAGAAAAACTAAATTCTGCCGATATTGAAGCAACCGAAAAATTCATGGCAAACAATTTAGATCTTTCAATGAATTATAGATTACCCTTGGATTCATCTGTGTTATTTATTATTTTAGTATATTTGTACTAGCGCTTAAAAAACTGGTATCTTTTTTGAAATGTTGTGAACAAATACTTTTTGATAATCGGTTATGACATTTGGAAAAGGGATGTAGAAAGATTGCAAAAACCCAATTTATTATTATTTCATAGGAGACAGGAAAAGTTAATGATACTACGTGCATCAGATTAAAAAACCAAATAATAATTGAAACACTACGTACATCAGATTAAAAAATCAAATAATAATTGAAATTTGTGATGAGCAATTTTACACTCATAATGCTCACATTATGAGTGCCTAGTTAGTGTAATCATGCATCATGTGGAGCAGTGGTTAGTGTAATCATGCATCATGTGGAGCAGTGGTTAGTGTAATGAGTACCTAGTTAGTGTAACCACGCAGTTGTGGAGCAGTGGTTATTGTTCTACCCCAGAACCAAAAAAAAAAAATCTCTACATGAAAATGTGTCACTTGACAAGGCTTAGCTATTTGACGTTATGACGAAATTGAAGGCAATCTTAATCAGTTACTTTTAATAAGGAATGAAGACTATTCACCTCTATTAAGCTGGCTGTCAAATAGTAAGTGCCTCATAATATTGTTAACAATATCATAGAACTAATGACAAAGCATGTGTTAAGAAATGTACCTAGCGCTATTAAATCGAGAAATACTTTTGCTATAATATGTGATAAAACTCGAAACATTTCCGATATTGAACAATGTCTTGTGATCGATCTGTAAATTTTGAAAAACACGAAGATTTTTTTTGTCTCTATGCAGTTGAAGCCACCGGCAGTAAGTTGCTTTTTTAAGTATTTTTTGATGATTTAATAAGATGTGGTCTAGACAAGAAAAATGGTGCGTTGAAAAAGTTACGATTTCAGAACATCTAAGTTGTGCTTCAAAGCCAGAAAATCTAAGTTGTGTTGCCAAACTATTTAAAGATTATGTCAATGAAGCGGTTTTTATACATTATAAAGCAACCTTGTTCTTCAAGATATTTGTAAACTAGTTAGATATATGAACGAGGAAAAAAAGCAGAGCCGTCCCGAAGAGATCTTAAGGAGGAAGGGGGTTGACGTATTTAAGTTTTGCCAACTAAGGCCAAAAAAATTTTTACTGACTAAGATTTCTTTTAAAAAAAAAGGTTTTTGTTGGCTAACATTTGCTGACTGCCAACAACAAATTCTCATTGCCTGCACCCTCGGGACGGCCCTGGACAAGAGTTGTGCTACCAATTGTATAATTTCATTTATTTAGAGATTGTTCAAGAGACTGGTAAGATTTTGAAAATTACTATTTGATATACTTGACGAGGATGACAATTAAATTACTTTAAATGCTTTTTTGTCCAACTCGTTTAGTCACGAGGATTGTGACGAAATGAGTTGGACAAAGTCGTTTCGTCGCAATTATATGGCTCAATTCTGACAAATTTTTTCAGAACTTAAAAAAGTTTCTGAACCAAATAATCCAAACAGCTAAAGCAGAAAGTTTGCTTGAAAATTCACTATCGTTCCAACTATATTTCGAGCTTTGCCTGGCGTATTTACAGCTGCAGAGCAAGTCTCTAGACATAAGCAATCCGTTAAAGTACATGCTCAATTGCTTCATCACTAAAATTATTTAAATTTCATATATCAGATATAAGGTTAAAAAGGCGTTTTAAATTATTTTTTAAATATTGTGTTTATAATAGCAATTCACTTCACGACTGCTTCCTTCGCAGACATTTTCACATAATCTCAAATCAAAAGCAATTGAATCATTTCTAACTTCTTCAACTTTATAAATTAAACACCGCCGAAATTGTTGCAAAAGCCATAGTAAAAGATTTTATAAATGGAATAAGAAAAGACACCAGAATATCTTACTTTGGAAAACATTAACGTTACTTCTAAATTAGCGCCATATTTTTTTTTTTGCTTGTTTTCTTATAGATACATTCATTTTCTTTTTAAAGTTTAATTAAAAAATAAGATTTCCCTCCCCCACCCTTCCCCTTCACCGCCTCCCTTAATACACACACATTATTTCCTTAAAGGTCACCCCTGATCTAGAGTACTCCAAAAACTAATGAAATTAACTACTGCGTATTGGTCAAGACACCACTAAATGTTAATAGTGAATAACCAAGTCAATATTTGTAACTCAGTTTAAAAGAAAGATGTATTATCTAATTTGTTCTTGATATAAAATAAATTTAGGGCGTATTTCTATTTATATTATATTCCCTTGCAGTTAGTAGTTTGATTAAATTAAAATACATTTGCATATTTTACGCTCAAAAAATGTTTTAGTGTGAAAAATTACTAACCAGAGGTTAAAAGACTCATTTAATCTAATTTGATTTATTTTTAAAATTGTACACAGTATTAATATAGATAGATTGCATAAATATTTTTAAAAACTTTGGTTCGTCATATCCATATAAAAACCAAAATGCTAGTACAAAAATATTTTAAGAAACATTTTTTGACTGTTGACAATTTCTTACCTTTGTGAAAGGTAATATTTGTTGTTATAAACTTTTCTAGGTACCTGATTGGATTTCAAATTGATGTTGTTGTAAAACAAAATAGTCATGGATGGTTAAGTTATCTAATGTCAATAGAGTATTCATATAGTGGTGCGAATGCTACAACATTAATTGCTGACGGAAAAGGTCCACCCATTCTAGATTGCTATATTACAGCTTTATACTTTGTCGTAACAATTTTGTCAACATGCGGATTTGGAAACTCGGGAAATGATGCAAGTACCTTAACAGAAAAAATGTTTACAATAATTGCAATGGTTCTTGGTTGTGAGAATAAATCATTATTTAATTTTCTTTTAATTGTCTTATGTTAGTTTTCCGAATTTTAGAAAAATAGTTTATACTTTTTAATAGAAAAATATTTTTGGCAGGAAAAAATCATTAAATTTAATTTAGAGATTTTTTTACTAAAAGGTTTACAGGTTTTGTACCTTAAAATGTAGGTGATTTTTTGAATAGTCATAAAAATATTTGTCACAATAGCTGAAAGCTAATCTTTAGAATATAAACATACCTAATAGTCATTTAAATTCCCTTGAGTAATTGTTACATTTACACTCTTTAATGAAACAGCAATAGCTCCAAAAAATAAGGCCTATTATACCATGTGAACCTATAAATGTAGGTTATATTTTATGGCAATAACTTTAAAACAAACTTTTTATTTCTTTTGAAATTTTGTGTTATAATTTCTTAATTGGTTATGTTAAATACAAGTAAATAGATTGTATTAATAACTTTCAGATTTTCAGCTGTACTTCATAATGTAGATTTTTTTTACCTTAAAATGCAGATAAGATTTTTCAAACAACTTAGAAGTTATATTTTAAATTATTCATAATGCTTTTTAATTTTGTTTTTACAGTTAAAGTATATTAAAATGAGACCAAAGTTTAATCTTAGGTTAAGATTTAAAACAAAATACCAAGCAGCTTCTTACAGAAACGAAATAGAATTAAATGAAAACATTTTAGCAAATGCTGTGGATTGTTGCAAAAAAAAACAACTGTCAAGACTACAAATCTGTTAAACAAGGTGGTTATAATGTTGATCCTAGAACTATAAATCGCATTTTAGATGGTGCTAAAATTAGTGAAAATAAAAACCATCTTTCAATTTTGATAAAAGATGAAGAGAATGCAGTAGCATTGTATGCAAAAAATAAAACAGATGTCTATAAGGTATTACAAAAAAAAGAAACTGTCCACAGTCATTTTAAATATAATAAAGCATCGTATGCATGCTAATAAAAACCATCGTTTATACTGTAGGCTTTCGCCTAATGCAGAAAAAGCAGTACTCACAAATAAACTATCACGTTTCTTCTGGTCAAGATTCATGACAAAGCACCCCAGTGTAACTTAAAAGAGGCAAGGGAGAGTTTCTATGAACCGTGCTATAAACTGCTCTAGAGAAATGGGTGAAAGTCATTTAAATGAACTAGCCGAAGAACTTAAAATTGCAGGTATAATGAAGAACAGTGAAAAAACTTCAGAAGGAGTGTGGTACGGTATAATAGATACTAAACGCATATTTAATCATGATGAAACTCCACAGTTTGTAAACTTTGGAGTTGACAGGTCTTGTGCTGGATATGCAGTTATTTCTCATGTAATATTATCAGGAAAAAAAATAACTTGCAAAATGGCACCAAAATCCACTGTAGAAAAGATGCTAAATTTGCTTATATCAACTACAGATCATGGAGTACAAGATCACAGTTCTCTACTCGATTTCTATAAATTCTTTGATAGCAAGTTAACAGAGGAAAATGTAGAAAGACCTGTGGTGGTACTAACAGATGGTCACTCTTCAAGGTTTGACGTAAGCGTCCTTTATTATTGCTGTGAAAAATAAATTCGTCATTTTATTGGTCCGCCAGATACAAAAGGTGTAACATAAATGTTGGATCAAGTAAATCATAGTTTACACCATCATTATCTTCAATATAAATCTAAACTGTTTTCTAGTATGATGCCAATTGATTGTTCTGGGTTTATGTAAATATTAGGAGAGATATGTTCATCATGGACAACAAAAGAATCTTTAATCAAAGCTGTTAAAGCGGTTGGTATTGCAGAGTCAGATCTAATTGTTAATTGGATGTAAAATGATAAATTTGAACAAGCAGCAAAATGTATAGCAACTATTCAGTCTTCTCAGACCCCAAAACGATGCTCTGTACAAAAAGTCCCAGTTGTTTCATCCCCTCATAATGTTAAAACAGGCTCTTGTGAATATTACAGAAAAAAACTTAAAAATGCATATAGAGTTATCTATGATCTTACTGAATCTCCATTACCTCTTAAAGATGTTTCGGATTTGTTACCATATTCAAAGTTACCCCAAAAGATACCTCTAAAAAAAGCCATAAAAGTAACTCAACAACATTGATCAATTGAGGGGAAAAAGGTCTTAGAAGCGGTAGCTGAAAAAGAAAACAAGAAAAAGAAAAAAGACGAGAAGAAACAAGTGAATCAAAATAATCGTGCATTAATAAAAGAACAATTTATCAAATGTAAAGATCAATTTCAATGTAAAGGAAGGTGTTGTGTATTTAGCTACAGGCAGTGCCCTATTTGCAATGATGTTTTAAAGTCAGTTTGTAGCAAGCAATCCTGCAAAGTTGACGGTGTTAAACCAAAAATGATAGAAGCTTCTGAATCGATCATCAATATCAACTCTTGACATTTTTATGAACATTTTATTTCTTTTTCTGATTAAAGTTGTGTTTTATTTGTTAATTTTAAATTTGTTTGTTATTTAATAAATAAGTTTTAAAATTTAAAATGGCAATGAAGATAGTATTTGATTTTGACTGGTGCCCTGAAGGGCACGAGTCAAAATCAAATATCAATCTCGGTCGCTTTTTTAATAAACTAGTTTAGATTTTTTAATTGAATTGTTATGACATTATGACATTGTGTGACCATGACATTATGACATTGTGTGACCATGACCAATCAAAGTAACAACTGATTTTATTATGTCTGTGTCAAAAAGGTTAAAGTATGAAGAAAATTCATTAAAATTAATAACTTTTTACTATTACTATTATTACTGCTATGTGATTTTTTGAAGATGTTAATGTCAAGATTTTTGATTGAGTTGAATTAGTGATTTCCGATTGAAAAGTCAAACCATTTGAAATGCAGAATGTTGATGCTGAGGAAAATTGGTTTCCTCTCAATATATCTTTTAAATATCTTGTTCTCACCTGCTTTTCCTCTTAAATTTGAATCATATTTATTCTTTCCTATAACAAAAAAAACACGATATAAATAAAGTAAAACACAAGGAAAATAGTTTTTCTATAAGTAATATATGTAAACATAATATTTATTTTAAAAAATCACGACTTATTCAGGAAATTAAAGATGAAACAATTACTGGCACCAGTGTCAAAATCTTTTAAGAATATGTAATTTTTGAAAAATCAATTTTTTTGATTCTTTTTAGTATAGCTACCTTAATTATGCCTTACTAAATAGATAAATAGTTCGAAGATTTGAAAAGCTAATAATTAACGTGAAAAGCACAAATATCGAAAAAATATATAATTTTAAAAAGCACTTTAATATTGCATTTAGTTTTATTCAATGTTACAATATTTTTACAACATAACATTATAAATTTTGAAAAATTCTGAATGGAGCTGGCAGAAAACATGGTCTTATCATCAAGTCCCATTGTTACAAATTTAGATTTAATCTTTTGTATAATAACGGGTGACAACTAAAAAACGAGACTGGGTTTAAAGACACATATCTCCTTAAAGGAATAAGATTTAAAAAATAGGAAAACTGTTTTAGAAGGTATTTTTATTCTAGTTTGTAAATATTTTATGTGTTTTTATTTTTTATAAAAAAATGAGTATTAAATAAAATTCAAAACAAGAAGAGATTAGAAAACGTGTGTATGAATTTTATTTAAATTAAAAAAATGCTTGTAAAAAGTTCACTTATGACCACTTTAAAGTTGAGAATATACCTAAAAGTACTATCTACAAGATAATTAAACGTGTTGAAAGTGAATCTAGGTACCAAAGAGTTCAAGGAAGTGGAGTGAAAGCTAAAAAAAATGACCAGGACAAACATTAAAAGGGTTAAACTCATGTTTGACCATAAAGATGGAGTTTCTCAACGACTGGCAGCTAAAAAGTTCAAATGTACTCAGCAACACATTAGTAAAAAATTAAAAAAAAGAACAAATATTAAATCAAGAAAAAAATGACGATTCCAAAAAGATCTGACCAGCAAAAAGCAGTACCTAGAACTAAGTTCAGTCGATTGTGTCAGAAATTCAAAAATCGTAAACCAATCATTAACGATGAGTCTTATTTCACGTTAAATCACTCCAGTATCAATGGAAATGATATACTTTTTACTAGTGATGTAAAATCTACTGCATCTACAGTTAAATACCAAGTAAACATAAATTTTCCACAGAATTTACTTCTATGGATTGCTTTTTCTAAAAATGGAATTTCTCAACTTTATTTTGTACCAAGTGGACTTGTTGTAAATCAAAAAATCTATTTAAACAAATGTATTAAGAAGAGACTTATTCATTCATCAATAAGTATCATTCAGATGGTGCATATGTATTCTGGCCAGATTTAGCATCATCTCACTATGCAAAAACAATAATCATGTACCTAAACAAGGAAAACGTGCATTATGTTGAAAAAGCGGATAACCCTGCAAACTTGCCAGAATGTCGCCCTATCAAAATTTTTTGAAGTATTTTGAAAGACCTTGTCTACAAGAATAATTGGCATGCAGAAAAGTTTAAAAAATTACGTTCTAGAATCAAGTATTGCCTTAATAAAATTGATACTGAGCTCATACGGAGACTAGCTCAGTCTATACCAGGCCTAGTTGATAAAGTTAGAAGAAATGGTTTAATTGAGAACAACTGATTATATATTTAAAAACTAGAATAAAATATAGAACATTTTTCCTTTTTGTTTTATCTTATTTCTCTAAATAGATATGTGTCTTTAAATCCAGTCTTGTTTTTTAGTTGTCACCCGTTACATATGCATAAACGTTTTTTTTTATTTAATTTAATTTCTTTTTTACGTCAATATAGTAACATAGCTTGTAATCCAATCACTTGAAAAATAAAAATATAAACATATTGTGTCAATATATTAAATAATTAAAGTTGAATAAAGGTTTTAAAAGTTAGTAATTGTTTATAATCAAAATTGAATATGTGTTGTTTTGTTGCACGTTTAAAATGTAGATTGGAAGTTATAGTCTTTATATTACTTGTAAGAATCGAGTTTCACAATTGTGGCCCTCGATAAGATATAGAGAATTCAGCTTGTTTTAATAAAGTTTTAGGTGTGACAAAGTTGTTAATTGAGTATTTAGTATTTATGGCCTATAGAACTAAATTGATATTGGAAAGTGTTTGGTAGTATGAGATTCTATAACTTAAACATAAAAAGTAGTATGTATAAAAGAGTATTAATTTCGAAGACGTTAAGCACTCCAAGTTCTCTTAGTAAAGGTTTAACACTGGTGTATTTTTTTGGGTTTAATATTAAGCAATATGCATGTTTTTTTTTGTAAATTGTGTTTAACTTGTTTAACTCGCCCAGCTTATGTTACAGTAATAGCTGTGAATAAAAGAGAAATAAATATTTTTTAAACAAGTTGTATTAGGAAGATGCTTTGATTTATACATAACCCCAACAATTTTAGATATTTTCTTTTCCATTTTTTTGATATGATTACTTCAGCTAACAGTTTCATTAAAAATTATACTTAAAATGTTGATTGAGTTCTTTTAAGTTTAGTTTTGTAGATTAACAGTTTCGGAGGTTTTTAGGGGAGGGGGTATCTGAATCAAAAGGTTTTTTAAATAGAATAAATTTGCTTTTTTCTACGTTTAGCGAGAGTTTGTTAGCCTTAAACCATTCGTTTAGATTTTCTAGTTTTTGATTAACGTATTAAACATTAGGTTAATGTTAAAGAAAAGATTTCAAAGTTCATTAGATTTGAACTAAATAATGAGTAATAAAGATATTAATTTTACATTGATTAAAGTTAATGTTTAATAATTGATAAAAATAAAAAAAAATTATTTTAAATTTTTTATTTTGGCTTAAGAATGAAAAATTTTTAATTTTCAAAAGTTTACAGATCTTAATCTTAATTTTTATTTTTAAATTTGGTGTTTCCCCCTCTACCTAAAATTGCCCAGTGGGGACCAGACAAAAAAAAAGACGTCTTTTGAACGTTCAAAAGACGTCCAAAACGTTCAAAAGACGTTCAAAAGACGTCCAAAATGTGTATACGACGTTTAAAAGACGTCTTTTTTAAGTCTGTTCCCACTGGAACCAAAAATTGGTGTTTACACTCTACCTAAAATTGGTGTTTCTACTCTACCTAAAATTGGTGTTTTTACTCTACCTAAAATTGGTGTTTCCGCTCTACATAAAACTTTTGTTAATTTGACATCAGTACAAATACGTAGTATAAATATAAAATCTTGAACAAAAATATTTTACAAGTGCTTAAAATATATCCTGAAAATGTTTTTTAGATGTTTAACAGGAAAAACACGCACCTATGCAAATATATTGCATTTGTATAAATTTATTGCAGATTTGTTTTTAAATATTAAAAACGTCTGAAAGTAATCTATTATTCCTTACAAACGTAATTTAATAAATGAATATATATTAAAAAATAAACGCAAAAATAAACCAACCATGTTTAGAATGTGTCTTGTACTTTATGTTTTTAGGTGTGCTGTATGCATTTATATTTGGAAAAGTGAATAATATCATTGCACAACTTTACCATGCAACAAATGAATATTCAGCACAATTGAATGCAATAAAACATTTTATTAAGACATATAAAGTCCCAAATAGCATAGGGTCTCGGCTTAAAGATTACTTTATAGCGACTTGGACTGTAACAAAAGGAGTAAACCAAGAAAAAGTATTTAGATTCAAAATTATTAGGCTTTTAAAAAAACATTTTTTTTTAATTTTCTAAAATTTTCTTTTATCTTTCTTTTAGATAATGAACAGGTATCCACGCGACCTGCAATCTGATCTCTGTTTATGCATTCATAAAAAAGTTTTTGAGAAAGAAACATGTTTTAAAAACATGTCTAAAGAAGCTCAGCGGTCAGTCTCTCGGTATTTTTGGGTCTTAAGAACACCCCCTGGCGACATACTTGTTTCCTATTGTGAAATGGTAGACTCAATTTACTTTGTGATTTCGGGAGCTTTTGAAGTTAACTGCAACGAAGAACTCATTGGTCTCATTGGTAAAATAATTTAACACTTGTTATTGAACACTAGTAAACGTAATTTTGAATATTTTTTTTAATTTTCTAATTTGAAATAAAAAATAACGCTTAAATTTTCATTTTGGTAAACTGAAGAAAGAAAACAATTAAGTTTGTTTTTGGAAAAAATTTAAAATTTTGTTTTTAAGTTTTGTAAAAATAAGGTTTTATATTAAGATAAGAAAACTGACTATAAGAATCTAAGGTTCAGAAATTGCAAACAGCTTGACGATAAGAATCTAAGATTCAGAGATTCCAAACAGTTTGACGATAAGAATCTAAGATTCAGAGATTGCAAACAGCTAGATGATAAGAATCTAAGGTTTAGAGAAAACATTGCATCAATATTATTATACAATAATAGACAAACCACACAAAGGATGGAACTCGGTCCATGCTTTTTTATATTAAATATTAAATAAGGAAATTTATTTATAACAAAATGTATGAAATAATATAGATAACATAAGTATTAAAAATTTTCAGGACCTGGCGACTCGTTTGGACAAAGACTTGTTTCTAAACCAGAGAAATCAACTTGTGAAGTAAAATCTACATCCTATGGTATTGTACATAGTATTAATGTAGATGGATTGCTTAAAGCTCTTGCAATTTTTCCTGAAGAACTAGATAAAATGAAATATACTTTAAAATTATCTGTTGACATAACAAAAAAGGTATAAGCCCATTTCTATTTATTATAAGTTTTATTTTGCTTTGTTATTTAGTTTCTATCTTTTTTTTTATTCATTTAATATGCTCAGTTAAAAGGTTGCATTTTTCACACGATGTAGCCTATATATAATGTAAATAAGTAATTTTTTAAAACTTTTTTTAGAGAGAAATTGGAAAAAATTAAAGTTGAAATGTTTCATAAAAAAAAAATTAAAAAAAAAAATACACTAATAATATTGTTATAGATAATTTTAATATTATATTATTAACAAATTTATTAGGTGTGTGCAAAATTTTCTTTTGCTCACACCTTTTCTAAAAAGTCAATACCGACTTCAAAACCTGAACTTCATCCAAAAACATGCTTCCAGTGTGGTGGGACGTATCTTGTATTGTATAGGTCTTTTGTGCTCAACTAAAAAATCCTATAAAAAAATTCTAATTTTTCTTATACTCTCCATTCTTTGCATACAAGTTGCCAAATAGTCTAGACATTAATGGATCATTTATAGTTAAGACTTGTTTGTTTACTTTTTTTTAATAAAATATGAAAAACGCCTGTGTCAAATTATTTTTGAAAAAACTGTGGACACACACCAACTTTAAGCTGTTTACTTTTTGACAAACGTAAAATAAGTAAAAACATTATTACCAGTAATACACAGACAAATACATTGATTGCAACAACAGCGTTATATTTTTATATTTACTTATGTTGTGTTTTAAAACTATTTTTTAGATTCAGAAAGACCGATATAAAGTTAAAGAAGTCATTTTGAACAACTGGGTAGGATCAAAAAGTAACTTAATAGATATTTCATTTGAAGCTGAAAATCATGATGATTCCAAGTCTATATTAAAACCTGGAAGTTCACTCAATGTGAAAATGCAAAAACAACCAAAAGAGCTAAATAAAAAAGTTGCTCAAAAAACCTTTGATGTCAAGACAAAATCAGTTGCTACAAAAACACAAACAAAGGATGCACGAAATGTTATAAATAAAAAATTTAATAAAGTTACCCCTGAACTAGCTAATCATCCTATTGAACTTGAAAACAATTCTAATGAGTTAATTTGCTTTAGAAACAACACAGATAAATTCTTCTTTGCAAATGGTGATTCTTCAGTATAGCGTAATTTTCTAATCTACTGGCATAGTACGTAAAATAGGTTTTCGATTTTGTTTCTCAAAACAGTTATATATTTGACAACCAATCATTACAAAGTAATGACTATAACATAACTTAAAGTTAAAGCTTGAATAAACAAAAATTAAAAGTAGAAATATTTAACAACAATCAACCGTGATCAAACATTTTTAATGTAGGAGAAAAATTGAAATTCAAAAAAAATAAAAAAATTAAAATAAATAAATAACAACAAGCAACATGCAAAGCTTTGTTTAACTTTATGCATTACATTTTTTTTTTTTAATTTAATTAATTTTACATTATTTAATTTATTTTGGTTTATTTAATTAACTCTAATATAACCTGCTATATATAATTGTAAATTTTAAAATGTTACTTTTTAACTTTTTATTCACAAATACATATTTTGATTTTAACACAATTCAGGGCTAAATTGAGACACAGTTTTGCTCATTAGATAAGCCAAAGACAGTCTTTAAAAAGCGGAACCAAAGGTCGATTTATTGAGGTGGAATTAAAATTTTCTTCATTAGCTAAATATATTTTGGGTGATCTAAATTCTCAAGCAGTGAGCAGACTCTTAAGTAGTCTTTGAGTTAATTTAAGTTAAAAACGTTTCACTATGTATGCAAGTATTTAGTGTTATTTTTGTAATTTAACAATCAAGTTCACTAACTAGTAACAACATCGATTTTGAGCCATGTTGTGATTAAGACGTCTAGACAAATTAAAAAAAAAAAATTTATGAGATACATTTGTTCAATATTAATTATAATCAATGCCTAGAACTATTGAAATTTATTAATTTTCAAAGTCAGAGGATGAAAAAAATAGTTTTTTATATTTTTTTGGTAAACGATAAGTTTTATCCAAAAAAAAAATAAAAATAGAATAAGCAAAAGTTTTGGATCATAAAGTTATTTACCAAAAATTGTCTTTATACTTTTTTTACTAAGAATCAATATTCCTGAGATTGCAAACCTTAAAATTGATGAAGTCTTATTCAACATAATCTGTATATTATGTTTTATTTATTATATATTAGTATTATTACTATATATTATTATATATACTAGTATGCTATACCTTCTTCGCTTTTTTCTTATTCTACTTTTTCTTTTTCTTCGTCTTCTTTTTCTTACACTTCTTCTTTTTTTTTCTAGCTGGAAATGTGAAAAAGGTGCATTAGCTGCCTCATCATAAATATCATTAAAATCTTCATTTGCTGAAATTGATTCAAAATTGTTGAAATTGATTCAACACAGAGCAAGACTGGCCTCGATAACTAGTACATCCCAGCTAGCACACATACGTTGTTAAAACATTAGAACAATGTCGCACGTTTCGTTGGTCTAACATCGGCTGCCAACGTTGTTCTTATATCATTATGGTTACAAATGCGACGTCGCCAACAACTAAAAACCAATATTGATAAAACGTTTCTTTAAAGTCGGAAAATGGTTATTATTTCTACGTTGATTCAACGTTTTAATTTGTACGTCGACCCGACGTTGTAATTAAAGATGGCACAACATTGTATTTAAGTTGATTCAATGTTGGAACTTAATTGATAAACGTTGTATTCAATATTAATCGGAATTCAATTTTTACTAAATTTTTCAACGATTGATTATTGGAACAAAAATCATGTTTGTGTTGATTGTGGTTTGATATTTTAATATTTACGGAAGATTTTATTGAAGTTGTATAATTTCACAATAGCAATGTTTGGTCGCATACATTGGAGCAACGTTGGGTTTAGTTCGTAAAAATAATCAATTTTTTGCGACGTGTTTACATACATTGGATCAATGTTGTTTTATGTACATTAAATCAACGTCGAAATATATACATTGGATCCACGTTGGGTTTAGATAGTAAAAACAATCAACTTTTTGCAATGTTTTTACAAACATTGGAAAAACGTTGATTTATATACATTGAATCAATGCCGAGATATATACATTGGATCAACATTGGGTTTAGATCGTAAAAACAATCAACTTTTTGTGATATTTTTACATACTTTGGACAAATGTAAATTTCCCAGATGTTTTTAGTTCCGTCGGTAATAATTTTATTGTTAACCAAATGAAATTGGATCATTGAAAAAAAGAGCCGACGTTCGCGATGGTTTTACATACGTTGGCCCAATGTTAGTGTGCTAGCTGGGATACTGGTAAACACAATAAACCGAAACAGATATTGGAGGAAGACAAGATAATTGCACTCTCTTAGAAGAAAATAAATCACGTTTTTTATGATGTCTTGTGGATTAGAGTCAATCGTTTGAAACACTTTGGTACATTTAGTTGAACCATGTTTTTCAAATAATTTAAATACCGTTGTTTTACCCCTTCTGAAAAATGCTGGTGTACTATTGCAGCCAGTTATTGCATGTAAAAATAAGATATGATATTGAAATTTTGGATAAGTTAGGGTTTAAATAAGCTTAATTATCAGCTTGCTTCACTATAATATTTTCAGCTGTTAACTTTTTGCATAACATTTAAATGAAGCAAGACCTGTTTTGAGTATTGCAAGGAGTTGCTTTTGGCTTGTTGGAACTGTCAAAAATTGATCAAAAATGACATCATAAGATGAAGATGTTCTGCAACTTTAACATTATTCTTATAATCAGTATAAATTTCAAATACTCCTATAGGGAGTCATTAGTATGTATACACTATCAGGATGTATACTGAATGTACATGTATAGGGATTTGATACTACTCCTATACTGAATGTACATTGTCATTTTAGTCATCAAATCCCAATTGAGAAGAAACGTTCAATGTTATTTTTGATAAATACATTCAGTATGTACAATGTACATATTGAATGTACATTGTAATAAATATCCTCCATTGATAATGTAACTGACATTTGTGTTGTCGATTTTAATGTTCACTGATTCAAAGCAATTGTAATAGCTGATTTTTTTGTTTTTTTCATTTCAGTTTCATCAAACAGTGATAATGGATAGGGAGCTAATTCAGATTTAAAAATGTTTTTCAATTTCATCAACAAATGTCTAAGTAATACTCAGGCGTTGAAATAACAATACTGGATCTACAGGTACTTTCTCATCATAAATCTTTATCGTGTTACTCATGGTTAAAAGAGAAAATATTTTATCAGTGCATTTTAGTTTGATATTAAATGTTTCCCCGGCCATTTTAGACACAGAAGCAATTCCAATTTCACGAGCTTTATGACAGTTAGTTTTATTATCACCAACGACTCCATTGGTAATAGATATAATTTCTTTATCTACTGGGTAAGGATCATTTAATACTTTGTGGCCATAATTCCTTTCATTTTGTAAAGCAAAAAGTAAAGTAGTAAAATGGTAGTGAAAAAAAGTAAAATAGTGAAATGGTAAAAATAAAATTTTGGATTCAGAAAAACTTATCATATTGCTTGTTAAATCTTCGACAAACCATTCCAACCGGCTAATGATAAATTCTTGATTTTACCATAGAACCATATCATGTCTACTTTTTGAAATAAAGATACTGATGCTTCACTTTTATAAGGGAAGTATTGTAATATTTATTTTACTATAACCAACTACATAATCCATTTGATAGGTTTGTATTGACACATGAACTTTTGCTGCGGATTTTTTTTGATGATGAGGCTTCCTTTATTTTGATCTTCTTATGTAACTGAACTTTTCGGGCTAACAATTTGAATGATACCTATTTTGTGAAGCGTGTCTTTAGCGTTTAAAGTCTTTACATTTATATCATCATTGTCTGCTACATACTGAATAAATGTGCCAGTTTGTGGTGGTAAGATAAAAGGTAGATGATGTAGAACTGATAATGCCTCATACATCACAGTGTCATTGTAGAATGCGCATAAACCAAAAGATTTGTATAAAGCATTTTGAACCAAACCGTTAAAGAAATACTGCAAGACCTAGTTGTAATTTTGATTAAAAAGATCTAGGCCTAACAGCAGACATATTACTGTGGCTGATATATGTACACACACGTTTTAGATGTTCTAATTTAAATCATTTAGATCAGTTTGAATTATTTGCTCCAAAAAAAAGTCAATGACTCCGGAATATCGCTGGTAATATTTTCGAACATTCAACTTAGCGGGGGATAATTGGTATTGCCTAAAACTAATGATCAAACATCCTTTCAAATGATTGCTGTCGCAGTTTTTAAGATACGAAACCATTCTTCTTCTTTATTTTGGCTTTTTTTCTTATACCAAGCATTGTTAAGAATATTGCAATGGTTGTCAAAAAAACAAAGTTAATCTATCCGTATTTTCAGTGATAATAGTTTTATTACCATACTTTAACTTCAATCTATTTTAATTGTTTTGAATCTAAATCTAGATTTTTGCAAATACCTTTTAATTCTTCCAATAAAAACTGACAATCATCACTATTTTCTATGTATCTAAATATTTCTTCCATCGAATCATTCGTAGATTCATCTTGAGGACGACCGATTTTACCTCCAGTGGTTGGTCTCAAGAAGGAATTATAACAACTGTTATGGTACCTAGCCTCAGAACCTACAAAATTATATTCATACCCAATGCGTGCACTAACATTTTTTGCTACGTCATCAGACCGACTTCGACCAACCTACAGAACCGATTCCAGGGTAACAACTAAATTTTACGCCGAACATTTTGCTCTTTCTTTTTTTCAGCATCTACATTCACTTCATCGACGCAAAATAAACAACATTTTTTGAAACAAAAATTGGATTTACACACGCGAGAATTGGTTTGAGGTAGATTAATTTTGGATGTACCGCTTGATCCATATGTTGCTGTCTTTTAAATGCTGCAATAGTACTCTTCCGAGTATACACTTTACGGTACCGCACATGAATTGTCACAGACTTCTGACTTTTTAGATTTTCAAGGATTAAAGTCTTCTCACTTCGATCAAAAACAATTATTTCACTTGTTATTAAAAGTATACTACAAATAAAACATACAGTATTGACTTTTAATAACAATCCATCATGTTATTTTAGTAGGAATTTAAGTTTGAAATTAAATATTTTTTAAACTAAAAGTGATTTTTTATATTGAAATAAATCAAACAATCACAATATAAATTTATTATAAAATAAATAAAAATTAAAAAAACTAAAAAAATAAAATATTGAAATTAAAACAAGTGTTTCTTTGTATCAAAAAAAAAAGTGGCCAAAATAAACAAACCACAAATACAAAATTAATAAACCTTAATATAAAAATATTTACAAAAAGTTTAA